TGCTATTTTGAAATAAGTTCTTAAACATATCTTTCCTAAAACACAGAACAGTAAATAAAGAAGTAAATCAAACAATAATCTCTACTAGTTACGACTTTTGTACTCGGTTGCTGCTTTACATAGGTTGCTAAGCCTTTTAAAATTTTGTATGTGGAGAATATGAAACAAAATATACATTTAAATAACTAAAAACTTATAAATTACTACATTAATACCATAGAATTCCACTATAATTTATCAAGTTTAGTAACTAAGACGTATTTTAATTTAAAAAAAATTAAATTTTGAGCAGACTAAAGACACACCCTACCTCATTGAAATATTGGTTCAAAAGAAAGAAAATTGCACCAAGTCCGTTAAAATAGCTGAGAAAGCCAATAGTAGGACATTCTGAGCTTCCAATTGGTTATTCATGTCATATATATATAGAAATAAGTGTATATAAGGGAGAGTTTCCAAAAATGGAAAGAGGTGGGCAGGGTGCCACTGTGTTTGATTTATTAGGTGAGCAATATCTTATTTTATATTCTAGCTTGTCAATATCGGTAATTTGAGTTTCTAATTTGTTCAAAACTAGAGACTTAGTATTTTGACTTCACAAACATCTAATCTGAATCAATGTTGCATTCAACATACCACGTGACCCACAAAATTCGATGTTTATCTGTGTTTTTAATATTTGCTTTTAGATTAAGAAATTGAGTAATATACAGTACTAAAATCTGAATTATAATCTACAGTTTGATACCAAACTTACTGACATAAATTCATGAAATGGTAGTTCAATAAAATTTTGAATGTGAGTCAACAAACGCGATGACATGGCCTTTAACCCATGACCTGTCTCAAAAGGGTTAAACAAATTTTAAATATATCTCTGTAAAAGGTTGTAACATGTGCACTTTGACCTACCTGTTGTGTAAAAGGTTGTAACATGCGCACTTTGACCTACCCAATGTGAAAGGGTTAACACCAGTCTTACAAACTCATAACACTTTAATTATTAGCCAAACCACAACACAAGTCATCCATATATAACAGATATAAACCAAGATGTGATGCAATAGAATTGCTTTCAAATCAGTGTGTGTGTGTGAACAAGTACATTAATGTAAAAACGGTGTTTTATAACTTCTAAGAATAACATCTAGGACCCACAAAAATAAAACCATTTCTTCTTTTTCAGCTAAGAACTTAATTTTCAGTCAATCAGGATAACTCAAAACAAACGGATATGAGAAAACAGGGCATTATAGAAGGGCAATCTAATCCTAATATGGAAAAAAAAACATCTTTCCGTTTCCTCAGCTCACAAAAACTCAACTTGCGACTTTGTGATATTAATTCTAAACTATTAGAAATTCTTAACACCACACAATTGTTCTTAAGCCCATCTTCCCTACTTACTTAAATTGAAAACAGTTATGGAAAATGCTAACTGTCAAACTATTGTATTTTAAATGTATTTTTTCGTTAGGTGAAAAACTGTGGCGACAAGATTCAGCAAATTTAAATGGCAAAAGTTTCACAGCATCTTTATCTTTAGGCCTTGAAAACAAGAAATGTGTACATAACATTCCATAAAAACTACAATTGATGAAGGGAGAAAGCTTATAAAGCAAACAGAATGTATCATATTTTAATAAATTATTCAGATTATCTGTTAAAGTGCCATGATTCTCCTCCTGAACTTCCAACTTGAACAAACAGATACTAACCTGTAGAACTGGGTCCATTAATGGAAGACTGAAGATGTAGACTGGGTCCAAGATCCAGCGATATGTCCCAGAATGGATCAATAGTTGTGGACACACCTCTAGATCAAAATACACCATTAATACCAACAGTTTTAGAACAACACCAACATTATAAAGATTTCAATCTACTAAGGCTGTTACAATAAAAAAAAAAGGCAAGTGCCTCCTATTGAATGGCTCTCGACAATATTTTGTCAACAGTGCTGTAGCTACGTGTGAAGTAATGAAGTATCCAAGTGGCTTTGGAGCTGTGGTTATTTACATTTTAAGGTTATATTACAGAAACTATTAGTCATTTACTGAAGTTGTATCCATCATAATGCTTTAATTGGGAGCTGTGGTTATTTATTAAAGCTATGTTCATCATATTGCTCTCATTATTTACTGAAGATGTATAACTTAGATAAATCATTTTTAGATTAGAAGCTTAATTTTGATAGTAAATTGCTTCTTTACGGGTCAATATAACAATTCTGCCTCTTTCTACTGTCTGCAAGTGTTCTTAGAATATACAACATCTAACTTAAGTGTATTTGAAGCAATTTCTTAGTTTCGGTAAAGAAAACATTTACCAGTAGTTTACTTTGAGCAACGTGCTTCACTTGGATACTTCATTACTTCACATGTAGCTATAGCACTATTGACAAAATACTGTCTCAATTAAACATTATGATGGATACAGCTTCAGTAAATAACTAAATCATAATGCTTTAATTATGAGCTGTGGTTATTTACATTTTAAGGTTATATTACAGAGAATATTAGGGATACAGCTTCAGTAAATAACTAATAGTCTCTGTAATATGACCTGAAAATGTAATAAAATTTTTATTGATAAAAGTTGCTTGTTGAGCACCACTGAACTCTTCTTTGTTCTTAAAGCAAAACTGGATGTAAGTATGCAAGATGTACAACTTTTTTCATACAAGGGTAACTCCAACAGTACAAAATCTGCTCAGTACTGCAACACTTATTAACTAGAACACTTATACGTTTTAACCGAGCATTTAGCTTAAGCAATTTTCAATTCCCTTATATTTAGTACCGGACAACGAGATTATAACTCAGTAAACAATAATTATTCGCAGCTATTAACAAAATATGTGATCAACTAATTTACAGACCGATTTAAATACAGTCATAGGAAAAACTTTTTTACAAATACAATAACAAACTTGTTTACATGATCATAGCTACTGTGACAAAGATCTTAATGGCACCCAGTGTCAGTCATTTTATTTCACTGTGACAGTAGTGATACAATTTACTTTAAGGGGTTTGAGTTGACATCATTTATAAATAAACTTGAGAGACAGCTCAAGTTAACAGAAGGTACATAAAATATAAAGACAATAATAATTAACTCTCTCACAATAGGTAGGTCAAAGCTCACATGTCATGACCTTTTACAGTACCATTCAAAATTTAATTTAAACTACTATATTATCAATGTATATTAATAAACGTGGCATTAAACATAGTTTACAGACTGCGTTTTAATATATGTTTTTATTTCTTAATTTTAAATGTATATATATAAATAAATAAAATCTAAACTTCTGTATTGTGTGCAACTTCACTAGTCCAAACTTTCTATTTCTTCCAGGCCACATGCCATGCCTCCTGTTGTCAAAACTTGTCATACGTTCTCTCTGATGTTTGCTATTACAATAAAAAAAAGAAATATAGTACTTTCATCTGATGTCTTATTCAAGGTTTTACACTTGTACAATTCAAATTGATGTCAAAACTAATTCAACATAATGATTATGTGGTCTGAGAAATTATTTAGTTATCCAGTTTAGAATATGAAATATTTCTCTATATATGTATAAAATAAAATGTCTTAAAACTTTATCTGGCTTTCTAACTAAAATAGAAATGTTTAAAATAATTCCCCTACCTACTGAAGCAGAACTTCAACAATGGCATAAAAAATAATGACACCAAAGTCTGCTTAGACCCTATAGCTGTCAGTTAAGTAAAACCTATCCCCTCTGTCGGTTACACATAATACTAATTTTTGCATTTTAATTAATTTTAAAACAGTAGAACTATGTTTTATCTGTTACTTTTTTTTGCCTTAACTCTATACAAGCTCGGTCAATTTGACTGACCTTGTAACCACCAAAAAAGTATGAAATAAATATAAACTTTTTTTTTTCATTTTAAAATTTATGCACATTGTAACAGACAAATACACAATATTTTTACAGCCTAAGTTTACAGATTTTTTCATTTTAAAATTTATGCACATTGTAACAGACAAATACACAATATTTTTACAGCCTAAGTTTACAGATTTTTTCATTTGGTTTTTTATTTACAGTTGAACTTTAACCTTCTTAGACTATGGCAATAGCTATTAATTATGTTTGCCAACTTTTTGTGGACTACAGATCCTGTTGCAAGCATGCTTATTTCAAATTACACAACTGTGCTCGAGCTGTCATTGATCACGAGTATTTTGTTTATTTCACTTAAAATTACTGATAAGTTTACTAAACATTACAAGTTCTTTTAACACAAAAAATCTGATTTTTTTAATTAAGTTATTTTGCTAAAGACTTGTTAGTGAACATATGGAGTCAAAGTGTTGACTAGTCTTAGTGCAAGGTGAATTTCATGTTAAAATTAGAAACACTTTTTCATCTTAAAGTTTTCAAATGTTTTTTTTTTTAGAAGCTTGTCAAATTTCATGAAGATACAAGTAAAACATTAAAAGTTATAGTATGGATACTTTCGTGGTTACAAATTTGGTCAAAAAGACAGCCCTTATGGAAAGAGTTAAAAGACAATTAAAGAATGCTACTTTACATGCCAAACTCGTCATGAAATATGCAATTAAATAGCCAGCTTGGCAATTGCAGTTAAGGCAGCCACCAGATGGCACGGAACAAATTTTATCATTCTCGTAAAGACAGGGAGTGGGTCATCTTAATAACAATATAGGATCTTTGAGTAAACTCCTCCAAAACAATTTTAATAAATAATTGTCTACTTCATATATATTCTCCTTAACTTACCATCAGCTCCTATTTGATTATGTTTCCGACTCCTATCATTTTTGATAAATCTAACTTTCAAGCTAATTAGACAAGAGGACAAACCACTAATAAATTTTTATTACTACTTGGTTAACTTGGAATTGAACTTAAATATCGCGAGAAAATACTTGTTTTATTGGGTAAAATTAGTGTTCTAAAAACATAACGGTAACACACAAAAACAATTACTTTGCTTTTGCGATAATCGAGTAACTGCATATACAGCTTTTAATACACTAAATTATGTATTGCTAACACTTAACATTAGTTTATGTCTACTCAAGTTTTCAAGGGTCATTTATATAGAGAAAGATACAAAGACTGTAAAAGTTAACCATTCAAAACTGTTACAGAGGGAAAACATTTATATGGTGGTCACAATATAGTAAATCGGTATTACCTGCATGCCTGACAAACAACGTCTGACTGAAGACCTCCCGTAAATATCTGGTCAACAATACAATTACAATGATGTGGGCTACTAGATAAGCCATTTGTACCTGGAAGAGAAATAAGATACTAGTGCTTAAGGCACGCACCAGCTGAAATTGTATTTAGTGGTAGGAACAAAGCAATTAAAAACAACTTACAGAGGTTTCCTATATCATCAAGAACTACTGTGATGTCATTAAAAGCGATTTCCAAATCAAATATGGTAGAAAGGAAAACTGGAAAAATCACTATCACCCAACTAGTGATCAATAAATATTACATGAAGTATAAATGTAAATCAAGAAACCGTAGTTTAGAAATATTAATGCTTTTATTTTTTGGTGAAAAGTGTAGCTAGCTGATTACAAGCTATCTGCAAGAGGTGACAATGACTTGTACTATTTAGTCACTAAAAGTTACTGAAAAACAGAAGCTAAATATTACAGAAGTGCTGGTGTAATGATGTCTATACTCCCAAACACTAAATATTACACTTCAGTGTTTGGGAGTATAGACATCATTACACCAGCAATAGACATCATTACACCAGCACTTCTGTAATATTTAGTGTTTGGGAGTATAGACATCATTACACCAGCACTTCTGTAATATTTTAATATTTAGTGTTTGGGAGTAAGAAGTGCTGGTGTAATGATGTCTATATTCCCAAACACTAAATATTACAGAAGTGCTGGTGTAATGATGTCTACACTCCCAAACACTAAATATCAGAGAAGTGCTGGTGTAATGATGTCTATACTCCCAAACACTAAATATTACAGAAGTGCTGGTGTAATGATGTCTACACTCCCAAACACTAAATATTACAGAAGTGCTGGTGTAATGATGTCTATACTCCCAAACACTAAATATTACAGAAGTGCTGGTGTAATGATGTCTACACTCCCAAACACTAAATATTACAGAAGTGCTGGTGTAATGATGTCTATACTCCCAAACACTAAATATTACAGAAGTGCTGGTGTAATGATGTCTACACTCCCAAACACTAAATATTACAGAAGTGCTGGTGTAATGATGTCT